ACTGACTCCCATGTTACCTTGATTTTATTCCCTGCCTTTGGCCTTAATAAGGAAGTGACTGTTCTACCAAGGAATCAGAACTGCATTCTCTATCAGCAGCTCTTATCCAGGATATCCTTTATACAGAGGGGTGCACTGAGGAATACACAACATTTCATACACAAAGGGCTTCCTCATCCCTTTGTGGCCCATATGAACTGGCTACGTAGGCCTTCCAGCAGCTAATGGTCAGTGCCAGATTACCAAATACGCAGAGTAGGCTCCAGCCTATGGGCCCCATGCCTTTTAGGGGCCCCACGACAATGGATCAAAACAATATTGATTTTAGAGATTTTAAAAAAGGCTGGCACAGCTAATGGTGGGGGTCAACCAGGAGACTCTGCCAGCAAAACTGGCTTGCCCTACTCCCCATTCCACTTGAGCAACTTAGAAGCTTTGGGAACCATGGGCCACAACTCTGCAGGACTATAGCGCCTCCGCTGCAGCAGTCCAGTGGTGGTAGTGCAACTTGCAGCCTGGCAGGGACTAGCTGACCTGAGCAGCCAATAGGGATCCATCTACCCTTTTGACAGCTACTGACTTTCTTGGTTGTTTTGTTTGTTGCTTGTTTGTTTGTTCCCGATTGCACAGACTAAGCAATTGGCCATTCTGTGCAGCAAACTGGATTGCTCACAGACTGCCTGGAGCCAACTTGACTTAAAACCAGTTCCGAGCCTGTCTCATTTTGTTTTATGGGCCTTGGCATTCAGGCAATGGGATGCCACAGTGATCTGCCCAACTCCAGCAGTCATCTGCCAGTGCCCTTTTCAGGGCACCCCAGTTGTCATTGCAGATGGGTGGCCCTCAAAGAAAAGTGTTTTTGCCCCCTCCTTCTGCCAGTGTTCAACATCCTCCCTAGGTGAGCTTGCTTGGCACCTCCATTTTTCTTTAGGTGCCAAGAGAAAACCTTTCAGTTGGTTTTTATGGCATCCTTAAGTATCTCTCCAAGTTTTTTAATTGGTTGTTTATAGAGTTTTTGTGGATTTGTCTGCTGCTGTTTTAGCACCTTTTCAGTCTCGTTTTTGGTCGCTTTCATCTTTTGATGTTTCATTTGTTATAGCTTTGCCGTAAACCTCCCTAGAATCCTTGATGGAAGGCTGGTACATACATTAAATAAAAATAAATAACAGTTTAGGGGCTGAGCCCTGGCTCATATGTCAACCTTGGCATGACAACACACTCCTTCCCTGGCTGTAAGAATGTAAGGAGAGATTTGCGGGATTGGCCCAGGAGTCCCATCATTGAGTCCAACATCCTAATTCCCACAGGGACCAACCCGATGCCCCCAGGAATGCCAAAAGGCAGGATTTGGAGGCAATAGCTCTCCCCTATTGAAAATGGTATCCAGGACTACATTGGCTTTGAACAAGGAGGTCCCATTTAGGCAGGCATAGCCCTGCAGATCTTGCTGTCCCCCAAAACCTCCCACCATCTTTGGACATCAACACCTGATCTTGCTATCCCCCCAAAAAAAACCTCCCACCATCCCTGGACATCAATTTTCCTGCATTTTTAGTTATTATCGGTGCTATTTTTCCAGAAAAAGAGGTGCCAGAACTCACCAAGAAAACACTTCCCTCATTTTCTTAGAATGCCAATAGCACCCACATGAAACGTGCCCGAACTGAGTTTTGTTGAGTTCCAGCTGGAAAAAGAAAAAGAAAAAGTCCTGGTTATCATTACTAAGACCATATTCACACCATACATTTAAAGCACAATGAAACCACTTTAAACAGTCATGGCTTCCCCAAAAGAATTATGGGAGCTGCAGTTTGTTAAGGATGCTGGGACTTGTTTGGAGACACCCACACACCACATCCCCCTCCCAGTTCCCTAAATTCTCTGTAAAGAGGCTTTGATTGTTAAACCATTCTGGGAATTTTAGCTCTGGGAGAGGAGTAGGGGGTCTTATTGCCTAGCCCTCATCTTAAGGTCTCATATACATGTTTGCATGTAATTTTGCCCAACAGACAACAAAAGAAATTGTGGTCTTGCATCATAGACATATCTGCAAAGCAATTTCCCTAATTTAATACAGTTTCATATGTTCTTTTCACTGATCTATACATTTATATGCATTGTTGACCCATTATTGTGCATTTTTGTACACATTTCATGACTGGAGAACTGCGTTGCAAAATTCAGAGGAGTGCAAAGTTTTAAATGATAGCTGTGTTTCAGATTGCTTATTCTTTCCAAAGCTTTAAATGTGAACTGAATCAAATTTCTCCCCCATCCCTGGTCCCAAAACATGGTTCCTGCTGTCTTAATTCTGAGCACCTTTGTTTTTATGAGTTAGGCTCTGAATGTACACACAGACACACAGTCTTCTGCATCCGCAGACATGCCAGGGCTCTCCTAATCACAGTCCACCACATGCAACACAGCCAGTAGTACAGTAAGGATGAGTTCCAGTAGGAACTCTGGCTAGGAGAGGAGAGGAGGCAATGAACTCCTCACTTCAGTTCCCCCTTTTTAACTGCAGGAATTCAGGCGTTGGCAGGCAGAGCTGAGACTAAGAAGTGATACACACTGTTTCCATTCTCGTTACCCTGACGGGCATGAACATTCATTTCTCTATTTGCTTCTGGCTGGCACTCACCGCTCGCTTTTGGAAGGGGATTCTGCGGTTTCATTGCTGTGAAGTGATCGTGGCCGATGACTCAAGGCGCAGAAGATGCATTTGCAAAGCCAAACTCATTGGTGGAGAGACAGGCAAGGGGGTGTGTTATATGGGGGGGGAGGGAGGGGAGAGAGAAAGACACACACACACAAAACCCCCTTGCCTTCTTCCCTGGCAAAATGGGCAGAGTGACGGGAGGGTGAGGAGGCGCAGGTCCCTCTTGTCTGATTCATTTCCTGAAGAAATAAATGCCATACAGAGCAAACGAGTGATTAATGCCGAATCTATGCCTGACACATACTGGAAGAACGATGCGAGTGAAATCTGGCACGCAATTAGCCACTTAGAAAAATAACCTGTTGCCAAAAAAGGTGGAGGTTATTTTTGAAGCCAATAGAGTTTCTCCCTCCCTCCCTCCCTCCCTCCCTCCCTCTCTCTCTCTCTCTCTCTCTCTCTCTTTATGAGCTGGAGGGAGGATTAAAGACAGCAGTAGATTAAGAAGAAAATCAAAGATAATTATTAAAAAGGTCCTGAGCCAGCAACTGCTGAAGGAGAGAAAATAAATCTCCCCTTGGATTCACTGGAATGCATCAGGGACGCAACATATATTCTTAAATTCTGTTTTCAAAGTGTTTGGATGGTATAGGCTGGCACAGAGAATGAACTCTGTGAAACCCAGGGCATTTTGGGGTCTCTAATTCCCCCTGGATAGAGATAAAAATCTAGCAAAAAGCAAGTTGGAGGGAAAGTATTAAGTCCAGTAGCTTTCTGGGAGATAAGAGCAAAAGCTCCCTTTCAGCACACCTGCATACAGTTCCAGACTCAATACCTGGCATCTCCAGTAAAAAGGGATCTCACAGAGTAGAGCCAGGAAAGAAATCTCTCTAGGAATTGACACAGAGTGTAATCTAGGGTCATGGAGGATCAAGGAACTAGTACTATTTCTGCAGCAGAGTCGTTGTAGAGTCCCTGTCCCTAAAGCCATCCAATCTGCAGGAGAGGAGAGCTTTCAGGCCACTGAGAAGTCCTCACCCTTTGTTCTGGTTGAAGCCAATCAGAGTGAACGGAGGTGAGTCAGCTACAGAGGATTGGCTCCTAGGGTTACTCTGGAGAACGCATGCAGGAAGAACACTGATGAGGAGTTGTTCTGTATGCTCCAAAGCTAAGCTTTTGGGAACAACAGAGAACACAAGGTGCTTCAGGTTCAAGAAAGTGGAGAGTTTATTGGGGGTGAGGTTATATAGGGATTGTTTATGTGTTTTGAGAAAATGATGAATAAAGTTAAGAAGTTAAGAAAGAGAATGGTGTGCAAGTTCTGTTACATGCAATAGAACTTCAAGGAAAACAAAAGTCATTCCAAAAGAAGATATTGGAGCGTTCCAGATCCTTTGCCCATGGAAAATAGCAGATCTAGCTGAAAGGCAGCATGTGGAGATCTGCATTCATTGTTGCAATACACTCTTAATTATTATTATTAGCGTATAATCATATAATTATAAGATTATTGCATAATCTTAAAGTGCGTAGCTGTGAGGGAGAATGGCTGTGTGGCAATCATGAAATGACCCTTTACATTAAAGTGCAACAGACCAATGCAGCTACTGTTTAGGAAAGCAAGTGAAAGTAATTTCTTTCTGACTTCAGTGTGGCACACATAGTCCCTTCATTTTTTTATGAAACAACATAGGAAGAGAGGGAAATGATTTTAAAAGCAATGAAAAATGAAGAGGAAATGAACAGGAAGGAAGGGAATGGGGTGGAATGGAAGAATGGTATTGTGTCAAGTAGTGTTGGGGTGGTAGAGTATACAAGGAACACTACAATAATCATGGGGCAGGGAGAATGAATTTTCTAGCATGGCACAAAACTTTCACAAAATGGCCCAAGTGGTTTTGATTTGGCTCCAGGACTGAAAGAGAGCTCTCAAAAGTGAGAGTTGATCTGATAGTGCAAAAGCAAGGATGCACAAATCTATGCATTTCATTCTTTTTCAGTTTCTCTTGTTTTAATGTTCTTAGAATATTTTATTAATTTTGCAGTAATATAACACTGATCAATTTCAACAAAATCTATAAAGGGTTAAATTTTAAATTCAGTTCTCCACATTTCCACATCAGTTCAATATTTTTTTTTTCAAACGGAAAGTCCTTCTGAGCATTTCAGTGTGAATTTATCCAAATATACACATGTTTTATGTAATTTTGCCTAATATGCACATATTTGCAAAGCAATTTCCCCAAATATATAGTGCATTTTTGTGTGTCATTTTCACTGATCTATGCATTTTAATGCACATTTTGTGCTTGTTCATTTTTGCACACAGTCCTTGACTGGAGAACCACATTGCAGAATTCAGAGAGGTGTGGATTTCAAGGGATAGCTACGTTTGGCTTCGCTTTGAAAAGTGTGACTTAGGTACGTTTGTCTTTCAGTGTGAATGGAAGACGGCATTCAGAAGGAGTGCAAAACCAAAGACCTGCATTAGAAATTACCGAAAGTGCCGTGCTAAAGTCAGTCGCGCTTCAGCGTTATGCAGAAGTTGGTCTCCATCTCCCCGTCTCTTTGCTTACTCGGTAGAACTGGAATTTGCCCAGGAAGGTTGATCCAGCCAGACCGCTGATGTGCCTCATTCCACTGTCTGCCCCCAAACTGAGACAGGGCACCTGGTCTGTCTCAGCCTAGCAACCAGTCTCAAAGCCAGCTTTCAAGTGCATTTTCTAACTGCTCCATCTCTGGCATGGATGACAGCAACGCTATTGTTTAGCCCAGGTAAAATGACCTCTGTTTGGTTTGCCAGCTCAATGACTTTGAGAGAATGCCTGGCTTTGAGATAACTCCTTGGGGGAAAAGATATCCAGAGGGCTGTATCAGTTCTTACGGTGGTATTAAGGCAAAAGTGGGTCTCGTGGCAGGGCTTTTGGTTGGCTTCCTTTCGCAGTAGCCAACATCTCACTGAGGAGACAGACTTGTGTCGGGGGGGGGGTGGTACCACTGTGAATGAAAGCTGCTCCATTCAAAAGTAATAACAGCAATCCCCACACATGGAAAAGTAGCATGGCATGTACAAAAGTGGTCCAGAAGGACCACAGGAGAAGGACCATTATCTCCACGGTAGAATACCTGCTTTGGATGGAGGAGATCCTTGGGATCTCCAAGTGTTTCTGGGAAAGATTATTGCCTAAAACTGTGGACAGTCACTGCCAGTCAGTGCATATAAGAATGACCTAGATCAGTGTTCCCCAAACTTGGGTCTCCAGCTGTTGTTGGACTACAACTCCCATTATCCCTAGCTAGTAGGACCAGTGGTCAGGGATGATGGGAATTGTAGTCCAAAAACAGCTGGAGACCCAGGTTTGGGAAACACTGGCCTAGATGAGTCATGTAGCACAATGCTCTAAATTTGGGAAGGGCTGTAGCTCAGTGGTACAACATGTGGCTTTGAGTGCAGAATGTCCCAAGTTCAATCCCCAGTGTCTCCAGAGAAAGAGCTAGGGAAGATCACTATTTGAAAACCATGGACAGTCACCACCAGCCAGTGTAGGGAGTGGCAAGCTAGATCATCCAAAATGGGCTTCCTGTGTAGCCCTTATCAAGCTTTCTGCATGGAATGTTTTGCTATGGAAAGACATTCACATTGGGATACCGAACAGGTTTACTCAGAAATCAGCTCCTGATTTCAGTGGTAGTTATCTTTGTGTAAGTGTCTAGAGGACTGCACCCTCAGTCACATGGAGGAGGGCTCTTCATTGTCCCCTGTCTTCCAGAGGCCTGTTTGGACTCAGCTAGACATCAGGAGTTAAATTTTGCACTCTTCCTGCAGAGACTTGCAGGAGTCTCTTGAAGGCTTCTTTGTGCCAACAGACCTTTGCAGTGTGGTGTAGTGGTTAAGAGCGGTAGACTCATAATCTGGTGAACCGGGTTCGCGTCTCCACTCCTCCACATGCAGCTGCTGGGTGACCTTGGGCTAGTCACACTTCTTTGAAGTATCTCAGCCCCACTCACCTCACAGAGTGTTTGTTGAGGGGGAGGAAGGGAAAGGAGAATGTTAGCCGCTTTGAGACTCCTTTGGGTAGTGATAAAGGGGGATATCAAATCCAAACTCTTCTTTGCAGTCAGTTGACTTCATGATTACCTGTACTTTCACATTCAATTTATGTATTTATTTATCTAATAAGGATTATTATTATTATTTATTAATTAAATGTATATACCCCCCTATACCTGCAGGTCTCGGGGCAGTTTACGGGATAAAATTACAATATAAAATATACCGTACCATATAAAAATGATGTTGTTGTTTTTTTAGTGGTGTACACTGCCTCGACAGCTTGCCATATGGCAGTACAGAAATACTTCTATAAATAAATAATATCAGAGTTCAAAGACACATTCCTACGGGGGGGGGGGGAAGATTCAAGGAAGGGATGACGTAGGGCTGGGGAGAGAGAGCGTGGCCAAGGAAGCAGCATGTCTGAGGGAGGTATGTGGCCTGAGGAGATTCCCAAGGACCAGATAGAGATGTATGGGAGACCCCTTTGGCCCCTGCACTTAGTGCATGGCACGCAATGAGGATTTTATGCTTTGGTTGTGTAGCCCCTTGGCTGGCCTAGGCATGTACCTTTCTTTCTGTGTTCCTCTGACCCAGCAGAAACTTGCAGGACAGGAAGTTAGAGAAGTCAACTGGGATTCTCCTGACAGCCCGGGTAAGAAGCAGGGGTGGTTTTCTTTCTGGAGAACTTCTTGCCCATGTCTCTCTCTTCTCTCCTGCTTGCTCTGCTGAAACAATGAGGTGCAAAGAAATCCTGACCATGTGCTAGATTTATGACAGACTTCAGTAGAATCAGAATGTGAAGCTTATGCGAAGCCTGGCAACTCCTGAAGAAAATGCTCTGCTGCAAGCAACTTTATTCGAGAAGAAACTTCAGGAACAATTCACATGGGTGAAACACTTTGATTAAACTGTATAAATTTGGAAATAATTGGAATTATTCTGATATTAATTGGAATCTGTATAATTGGCAAAACTGTGGTAAATATTGGGAAAGTTCTATATATATATAAAATCACATGGGTGAAACAGAGTGAAATAATTGTCTCATTCATAAAGAGAGCAGGAAGTATCACCCTCATTCTAAGGGCCTATCAACACAGGTCTGCACTTTAAAGCTCTGTGTTCAAGCGCCCCAGAGTTTTCCATGCAAAAAGCCACTCTATAAGACTCAACGGCAATTCTGGTTTTCCATGGATTACAATTTTCTCCAATTCAGTGGTAAAGAGTGGGTTTTCATTGGGACAGCTCTGGGGCAAAAAAAAAAACACCACAAAGAGCACTCAGACATGAAGCTTTAAAGTGTGGACTATGTCTGGAAAGTACAAAGGAAAGCTAAGCGTGGATAAATTCTAATTCAACTTGGTTATGTCATTATTGCATAGCCAAATCCAATAGGTTATATAGTGTGGTGACATCATCACACTAGTTGCAGAATCCCTGACTGGCTGGATAACATAGCCAAGAAGGAATTTCCCCCCTATTTGTTTATTTATTATTGCCAAAGCAGCTGCTGAAATGAGCAGCAAACAGGAGCAAAATGGTGCCAAACAGGCATGGCAGAAAACTTATTTTTGATAAGGATATTTAAGGAGCTAAAACTCCCTCTTTTATAGTGAAAATGTTTGCCCATGAAAATTCAGTTCTGCCCTGCTTGCTATGGACATTCAGCAGGAAGACAAGTGTGGCGTCCTATTGAAAAACCACAAGATCAGAGGAGGTATGAATCTGTGGAAAACTCAGATTCAAATTCTGGCTCAGCTTCCTGGTTAGCCAACGGGCAAGCACTGTTTTTGGCACAGCTTCCTTCGCAGAGTTGTTACGAGGAGAAATGAGACTATAAGTGTATACAAAAATGCACTATGAAAACAAATACAATAAGAAAAAAAAATATTTTAAACAGTTGACCAAGCCAAGAAGTTGCTGACACAAAAAAACTTTGCTGGATCTCAAGATCTAACCCAGAGGGATCAAGTTGGCATTGCTTTACTAGTGGTGCAAATCTGCAAGCTAACATTGAATCAAGTGGTCAGAGAAATGTGGCTTAACATTCCCCACCACAGAGACACACAAAACGATTCTGAGTCGTTTTAAATAAACGGAAATGAGTGAAACTTTAATAACCTATCTAAAAGCCAGTGCTAAATTAGGATCAGGTTGACTGAATGGAACACCACTAGCCGATTCAGATGGAAGAACACTACTACCATTGACCCAATGGCATTTGCTATATGCATCTTAAGTGTTTCTTGAGGGTCTTCAGCTGAAGCCACGTCGCTCAGACTGACCTTCTTTTGCTTACGAGAGCTTAAAGGGGACCATAAGTGGGGATATCCTTATTGGTTTAAAAATGAAAGGCAAAATCCCCCTACCAGAGGATGTCTTAGTAACCACATTCTCTCCTCAGATCTCTGTGCACCAACAGCTGCATTTGGGACTCTGTTTTATCTGAGGACATGGGAACTGGCTTTTCTAACTCTTTCCATTCTTTCTACCAAATATTGACACGTCCATTCATTTGCATTGTGACATTTCCTCTCCTCATTATAATCTTCTTTGCAAATAATGGCGGCTAATCCACCCTATACACACATGGCCAGACATGTATTTCCATGCATTTCTGGTAATTCCTTGCCCTAGAGAGGGGGTCAGCAGAAGGTCTCTTGGCACAACCTAAATCCCCCACTTCACACTGCAAAATACTACCACTCAAGTGTTCCATAGGCCACCACCACAGCCCCTTGACACAGACCCCGAATCTCACCCTGAATAAAGGACTTCCTAAGATGCAATTTAGAAACTTGCGAGGCCCGGGGAATAATCTTGAGGGTCCATGATGCACTTCACTCTTCAAGCAAAGGAGTTCTCAGTCTGGACAATGTCTGGGTGAGTGGGGCATTTGGGAGCCACAAAGAAACAGCTCTGAGATAGAAGAAGAAGAAGAAGAAGAAGAAGAAGAAGAAGAAGAAGAAGAAGAAGAAGAAGAAATAAGTTACCAAATAAATAAAGCAGAATGTGCATAAAATTTCTTAGGCTATTGAGCCTCCTACTCATATGTATTTGACTGATGCTGTAAGGTGAGTATGTGGTCTCATATTCAAGTGCCTTTTCGGCCACGAAGCATATATGCCTATATTTACTAGCAGTAGTCTATAGTTCTTGGCTAACCACAGCCCGTTTTTGCATTATGGGAGACCACTGAAATTGTGTGGGCTGCTAGAGTTGTCTTTCACCAGAGTATAGTAATAGTAAAGGAACCCCTGACCATTAGGTCCAGTTGTGGCCGACTCTGGGGTTACGACGCTCATCTCACTTTATTGGCTGAGGGAGCCGACGTACAGTTTCCGGGTCATGTGGCCAGCATGACTAAGGTACTTCTGGCGAACCAGAGCAGTGCATGGAAATGCCGTTTACCTTCCCGCCAGAGTGGTACCTATTTGTCTACTTGCACTTTGACATGCTTTCGAACTGCTAGGTTGGCAGGAGCTGGGACCGAGCAACAGGAGCTCACCCCATCACGGGGATTCGAACCTTCTGATCAGCAAGTCCTAGGCTCTGTGGTTTAACCCACAGCACCCCCCACATCCTCACCAGAGTATAGGCCTCCCCTATTTCCCTCACAAAGCTACATTTCCTAGAGTTCCCGGTGAAGAGGGATTAATTGTTAAAACAGCCTGGGCACTGTAGCTCTGTGAGGGTCTCCTAACAACTGTCAGCACCCTTAGCAAACTACAGCTCCCAAAATTATTTAGGGAAGCCATGATTGTCTAAAGTGGTACCATGACGCTTTAAATGTATCGAGTGAATGTGACCTTGGTCAACTGTTAGCAGGCTACCAAGGAGACTTGTCCTTTGTCATCTTTGCTAGGCAGCTTTCCAAGGTCTCAGGCAAGGGACATTCCCAGCCATACCTGGGTTGACCCTTGGACCTTGTGCATGCAAAGCAGTTCCACTACTCCTGAGCTACGACTACACAAATCTTATCTTTACTGCAGCTGTTTTGATATTTGTGCTGGGGCTCAAAATCCAGAGCATCTGAAGGGAAAAAAAGAGAAGCCCTTGTCAAAATGCGCTAGAAAAATTGTCTTAATATGAAATATCCAGTTCAAAAAGTATCCAGAGCATTTTCAGTTCTTCCTAGAGAATTCTAAAACTGATAGAGGAAGAAAAAACAACAACTTTACCCTGCCAAGCTTCTGAAATTTGTACTTAAATGGCAGGATGCTTCCGGATTTTGGCCTAACACCTCACATTAAATAAAAATCTTTATAGAGGCCCTTTCCCTTTTTTGTTCTGAAGCCGGACATCCCCTGCCATATTTACTAGATTCAGAACTTGCACTTGTGATGCTAAAGCATTTTTTTTGAGTATAGCATTTCGAAGCATTGTCCATATCTTGAGTATCCAAAATCTGGAACTTTGAAAATTTCTGCTCCGTAAATTTATCTTTGGCTTATCATTTGAAACAGGAATGGTGATAACATGTCATGTGACCAAATGAGACATTTTAGATGGAGGGTGGGAGAAAATGGAGAAAGTTAATTGAATCCAAAATGGGTAACATTTTATATCCCAAGTTTCTACACAAAGGTGTGGTTGTGTATCCTTCCATTGCCACAGTAGGCGCGAGTCAGTGCCATTACACTGCCACCTAGTGGTGAGAGTGAGAAAAGGGAGGGGGAAGTATCTAAATGAAGATGGATGATTAGCTAGAATTGCCTTCAGCATTAAGACTGGGAGAAAATAACATGTCAGAAAAAAAGGAGCATTTGTTGTCAATAACATCCTTTAAAAATATATCTGGCTAGAAGTAATGGCATAAGAATACTGACCAAGGATAGGGTTGACACAACTAGCCTCTGTGACAATACCAGTGCCTTGATCTCCAGGCATTATTAGTATTATATATTGCATTTATAGCCCACCTTTTTCTCCAAAGAGCTCAAGGTGGCATACATGGTTTTCACCCTCCTCATTTAATCCCCACAACAACCCTGTGGGGTAGGTTAGGCCTACCTCACAGGTTGCACCCAGTGAGTTCCATGGCCCAGTGGGGATTTGAATCCTGGTTTCCCAGGTCCTAGCCCAACCATCTAACCACTGCACCACAGTGGTGAGGTCGATGTCCTTACTGGGGGAAGCTGATTTTGGCACAGGCTGCAGTTAAAAGCACAAGAGCAAGACACCATTTCTTCTTTGCTCTTAACATCCTGGATATCTTGGTGTCAGTGGCAGCCTTGGGCAACACCGACACCTTATATTTAAAGCAGTGTCATGCTGCTATAAACAGTGATGACTTCCCTCAATGAATTCTGGGAGCTGTAGCTTAAGGGGGCTGAGAGCTCCTAGGAGACCCTTATTCTCCTCACAGAGCTACAATTCTCGGGGTGGCTTAACAGTCAATTGCTCTCTACAGGCGACTCTGAGAATTGTAGCTCTGTGAGAGGAATAGGAGTCTACTAACAACTCTCGGTACCCTTAACAAACTGCAGCTCCCAAAATTATTTGGGGAAGCCATGACTTTTTTAAAAAAGTGGCATCATAGTGCTTTACGTGTATTATGGCAATGTGGCCTTGGTTCACTGTTAGTAGCCTACCAACAAGGCTTAGAATCATGGAATAGAATCATAGAATCATAGAGTTGGAAGAGACCACAAGGGCCATCGAGTCCAACCCCCTGCCAAGCAGGAAACACCATCAGAGCACTCCTGACATATGGTTGTCAAGCCTCTGCTTAAAGACCTCCAAAGAAGGAGACTCCACCAC